CTCAGGACAAATGTTCATAATTCCTTTCATTGGAACCTGGAAGAAAGAAGTTTGCTAAAAGAAGTGGAATCCCACCATAAAAGAAGATATTCTAAAGTTTATAATCTTGCAGTTCAAAGCGTTTGAATGTATACTTTTGACCTATACTTGTATTTTATGTCACTTTCTCCAGCAACAACGCCAGTACAACCTGGTAATTAAGGACTGGGGTCCTGCTTCAGACATCTGAATCTCCAGATTCTGGACAGTCAAACATCAGCTGATACAATCTAGACACTCTCCTTGTGCCAATGGGAATCCTCACCTTTAAAAACACATTCTTATGTTGTCAGATAATCAGTGTTAAAAAGAATGCTAATGTTAAAATAGAATCTTTTCAGGAGAAACCCAGCCTTATGAAGCAATTCTTTTCACCTGGCCAAGCTCTATGTGTCTTTTATCATCCTAGGAAAGTGATTTAATAATGTCTTGAGAATAAGGTCTCTTTTTCTCTGGTGAACACCATACAGGAGCAGAAAAAGTGAATAACTGCAAAATATTCAGAAGGGATTCTGAAAGATTCTGAGTCTCAAACCATTTTAAACAAAAGGCTCAGTCCTGTTCTTCTATACTGAAACACGAAAATTGCTGGTCCTTAGAAAGCTATCGCAAATATTGTGGGAAAGTAACTTTTCAAGGCTAATGTATTCCAGTTACAAATGACTTGTGCTAGAGGATGTTTTAAATGAAAAAAAAAGGTTTCAGGTGAAGATTAAAAAGCAAGCCTTTATATTCATCTCTACAGTGTGTATAAAGTGACAAAAAGACAAATGCAATTTAAATAACCTATTAGTAACAACCTCATACCTAATTTAATATCATGATGCACTGCTTTACCCAACATTATCACAATCCTTCTTTCATCCTCAGACCTATTCCACTGAACTTCATCTGAAACCCAAAAGTATGCTATACTATTTTTACCTTCCACTCTCCTGGCTTTATGATGATGTACAGTAGAATCACTCTTTTATAGATGGGTTGACAGAAGACATTATACTTTTTCGGTGTCGATCTGTTATTTGGAAGGGTTAAACAAGGGGGAGATTTAATGCACACAGACTTCTCTAGAGGACACCTCAGATAAAAGCTTTTATCTGCTAGTGCCCATAATCCCTTAAACTTCAGAAATGTATTAATTCTGCCCAGATTAGATTCAAATCCACCTCTCAAAAGTTAGACCTGCATACAGTACCTGACAGGCTCGTGATAGGTTTTCTATAACAAGGCAATTTCACAGGAATAAATGAAGGTCAAAATCATGGAAACACCTCAGTTTTCTGTACTTTCTTCCTTGCCTTATTCTTTTGAACTTTACTCTGTTTCAGCTATTTACAAAACACAGATAATACCAATTACGTAAAAACTCTGAAAACGTACTACTTATTATCTGCGGCATCAAAGATGAAAGATATGATGTCTTAACTGGATTAAAGGGATGGTCTGTAAAGTTTAGACTCTCTCAGATCTCACTGAAAGAGTTAAGTATCACCTTATAAATGTTTGCCGTTACTAATGTTACTAAATATGCATCATTCTTTCAAAAATCCTCATCTTACACCAAATATATTGTGTACACTTTACATTATAATTTATATGTCATTTTGGAATAAAGTGGGCATATCAAAATTTGGTTCACAGCTGTGGAGCTTTTAGAGCACTACAGTAATTTTTACTGTAGAACATTAGGCTGTTATTGTGCCATTCTGTTGTTCCTACAGCTGCTACTCAAGGGTATTTAAATCAATTAACTCTAACAGCTTTCTAAAAGATCGACATCTTTCACCAAGCCATCTAAAGACTTAGTCCAGTGGATTATTTATTCATAATCTATTAAAATGCAAATTGAGTCGCAACAGAAACAATTCTCCAATGAGTTGTT